AAAATAAAATAAAATAAAATAAAATAAAATAAAATAAAATAAAATAAAATAAAATAAAATAAAATAAAATAAAATAAAATAAAATAAAATAAAATGTCAATGAACCCGTGAAATACATATTTGACTATTACATGTTATTACTCGATAATTCCATTGTTTTCTTTTGTGTCTATTTGACTATTACAGTTTAATTATTAACTTTTATTTCACAGGATCAATGCCTTCACTCTAAAATAAAATAAAATAAAATAAAATAAAAATAATTCATTATGCCAACAATCACCGTTCAAATGTCTTATCGCATAATTACGTCACACTGAAACATTCCATTAAACAGTTAGTGATTATGGTCAAAGGAAGGGAAGCAGAAGACACCAGAGGATGTACGCAAGCAGTCATTAATAAACGATATATTCGATAGCTATAAATTAGCATCTCTAGCTCTCAGCGAGAAGCTCAATAGATCCAAACTTCAACTGTTTACAAACGTCAATTTGAACTATGTATGGCGTCATGTATACCAGCATGCAACTTCCTGACAGTCGCAACTTCCTGTCATTCCAGCGTTCTTTCACAGGTAACTCAAACTAAGCATTTGGAATGTATGTAGTTTAGTTGATATTATAATTTCCTTACCAAAAGTCTTGTAAATAAAGCTTAGAATATAAAGAGATTTAAAGCAAATTTACCATCTCGCTCAAGGATATTGCCATTCAAAGCGTTTTTATGTAGGGGAAAGAAAACATTTCCATAGTAGCTTTTTCATTAGCAGTGAAAGACGAAAGTTTCTTTGTAAAAAAAAAGATAAATAAAAAAATAAAAGATGAAAAAAATATATAAAAAAACCAATTGTGTTTAGTAAGTTATGTAATCTATAGTTAATTTCATACCGTGCGAGCAGAGGAATATTTCCTATCCTCTGCTCGCAGGGAATCAATTTCATTTATATATAATCACTTTCTAATTTAATTTACTGTCTGAAATATTTTCTTTCTGTCTAAAACAATCAACAAAATCTGTTGTCGATGAAATTGTACTAATACTATGAAAAATTCAAGTTGACCATAAAAAGAATCACAAATGTGATTTTTTTTCTTTCGGTTTTAAAAGCCAATTCCGACAGTCGACGCTGAAGTCAGATCTAAAAATAGAATAGTACGTCATAATTCTATTGCGCATATAAATTAGCAGTCGGCCGGTTGCCGGCTACAACAACAGTTGTAGTACAGCTATCGAAAGCTAAAGTAAACTCAAGTTTTGAAAACAGTTGGCCCAGGTTAGTTAGAACCAACCTACAGCAACAATCCCGAATCCAGAAAAGCAACTAAATCGCAAATATCAAAGAATTCGGTTGCGTGCGATGAAATGGCTTCCTTTTGTTGTCATWCTCATAACAATGGCGGCCGGTTCGAGTTCGTTGCAAATTCGCTGTGATTTCAACTCCGAATGTCGTGATTTTGGCCTCAAAAGTTGCTGTAATAATACATGCAATGCTAGGCAATACTGTTCAAGGTACTGTGATAGTCCTATCGACTGTTTGCCGAATGAAGACTGTCTAAATAGTCTTTGTACATCGGGCAGACTACTACACAGACTTCGTAGGAGTCGAACATCATCTTCTCAACGTTGTCACACACAAGAGGATTGTCCTGGGAAGCGTTGTAGTGAATATTATCAAGAATGTTTTTCTTGTGGCTGTGAGGAACACGAGGACTGTATCAAAGGGAAGTGCGTGAAGGTTAGAGAGGTGGGTCAAATCTCATCAAAAGCAATCGTCAACATAGTACTGCTAGCCACGCTGGTAACCATTGTCGTGACTACCATTGTAATTGCTTGTTCGTTTTGCTTTTGCCCTTGCTGCTGTTGTAAACCAGAACAAGAACAACGACCAGTACCATCGTTGCCAATAGGGCGCGCGATATTATTTCTACGCCAAGGAGAGGGTATTCAAGATGTGCCTGTATCACATGGGATCCCTGGGGCAACAACTGACGGTGCACTGGTACCAACTCATTTGGCAGAGACGGTTGGAAATACTGAAAATCATGAATTGTCTCGTCCACCAACTTATGAAGAAGCCTTGCCTTCTCCACCAACTTATGAAGAAGCAACAACAGTGATTTGAATGCAGGTATACTGGTATATTGTCTGAGAAGACAACAATATTTACAATTACAAAGAAAAAACAGTTAAAATATATATAACTTATTTTATGATATTTTTTAAAAACAATTTAGACATGGAGTATCAAGGCAGCCGGGTTTATTCAAAGTTTGGTGAGCTATTCCTGGGCTTACTTTAAAAAAATCTATACAATTATAATTAACCCTGGATTAATATATACTAAAAAGGATTTGAGCACTCTGACACAGAGGTGTACACAGATTGCATCCTCTAGTTTATAATGATATTGCATTCTGACATGTCAATCAAAGTCCATGCAAATAAGCCAAATAACATTGAAAATCTTGGTATGCCAACTCTCTGAAAAACTTTTACTATGAGGCAGAAAACAGTGTTTTAATATATTTATTTATAGTTTTATTAAAAGTGGCTAGTTATTTAAGTTTGTTTTTGTTTGTTGTATTTAAAATCAGTATGCATTGTCACAGCAACACTTAACAAATATGGCTGACTTAAGTTTTTCCAAAAACATATCCCACTTTCCATCTCCCTGCTGCTGAGTGTCTCTCGTTGTAGTTCTCGACAAGTAATTGAGAGACTGTATGCCCGGGGGAGGGGGGGGGGGGGGGGGGGGGGGGGTTTCGCTATATGGGTATGTGCTGCAGGATAGGGTCCCTTTTTCGGAGCTCCAAGTCTGGGATAGGGTATCACTATTTTACCCATTTGTCTGGGTTAGGGTAGTAGTTGTGTGGGATAGGGTAGTTTTTTGTCTAGGATAGGGTATTGTCTGAGGTAGGGTGGAGTTTTCAAACTTTTTTGTGATGAATATGTTTATACCTATATGACCTATATCAATCGGATACAAGCTAGACTAGTAGTATTGGTCTATTACAAACTGCTACTAACTATTAGACTTATAGTGTTTTCATGGTTGATGGAATTACCACTCTAACAGATCTAGTCGAATTTGAGATCACTAGGGTAGGGAGTGGAGCACGTACAGGGGCCACATGGGGACCCAATTTCGACAAACCTAATAAATGCTCTACTGCTCACATCCGGTTTATTTTCAAAATGAGTAAACGCTGAATGAAACTCAGATTAATAAATGTATTGAGGGAAAAAAATATACGACTCACAATTACAAGGTTTTTACTAAATCAATTCTCGTTACGCGCCCGTAAAATAATCTACATGTCCATCTCAGCGTCAAATGTCTATTTGTCTGCTTTGAGAAGATTCAACTTGCTTCAATAGGTATAAACGAAAATAAAATCATATAGTATTGTTAACTTCTCTTCAGGTGACCGCAAAAGTTCGTATAGAGGTCAAGGGAAAATTCCCTAAATTGAGAGGCGGAACGAGTAACGTAAAGAATCCGCGAATGAAACATGAAAAACCCTCTTCTTTATTAATATGCCAAGCAATGTAACCAAAGACAACCAATGATTTTTCTCGTTAAACAAACTTGACAAAACTTCGAAAACAGCGCCTGTATTTAAGTACCAAAAGTGGATTTTAGTCCGCATACGTAATTAGGTTTTTTTTTCCTTATATTGAAAGTTCCATCAAGGGAAAAACCCCTAATTACATATGCGGCTTACAATATTGTAAGTTGTTTGTACATCAGAGAAGGGTAAAACATCATCATTTTACTTGCTATTTTATACATATTTTTAAAGATTATGTAGCAATGCCTACGAATAGATGTCGCTTGTATTTCTATTCGTTCGTTTTTGCTATTTCTGTGTTGAATGTGTTATTAGAGAAGTGACTTCTGGCGTGACTTTTTCCCATAAGTCATTGCAGTATTGAATCGTTTCTGGATTTAAATAAACCCAAGGCCAAAGTTTCTCAGTATCGTTAGAGTTTTGCTCTGACCACATCAAGGGTTCCATTTCTTCCTCGTAACTTGACTTAAACAAGAAACCCAACTAGAATGTAGTCCTATATTATCCAAAGTTCGCCCTTAGTGGCGCGATGGAGGTAAGAAGAATATTAATATACCATGATTCCTTGATGTTGGAACCATTGCGTATTGCTACACCCATAAAATCAAATTTAGCAAAATTTATCAAATTTAACAATTCAGTCAAGAATGTTAAGACTTTTTCTTATTTAACCTAAAGAGCAATTTCGGGAGAAAACGCACATATAAAATCAACTCTCGCTTAACGGACACCCCGCTATTACGGACTCCTCGATTATCATATGGACACGAAATACTAAATCCCCAGCCAAAAATACAAATGCCTCAAAGTAACACCCGTTAGTACGGACTCGCTACTGCGGACACTAAATTACAGTCCCGATGCTGTCTGTAATAGCGAGAGTTTCAGACTGTATTGCGTTCCTCGCTATTTTTAAACATAGTTTTTGAAATGAACTACGTCCCATATATTGCTAAACGTCCAGGAACAACTTGGGAAACGAATTACTATTGTGTTCGTTGGTAAAGCAGTTTTTAACTTTTACATTCTATGAGAAAAAGTTAAGGTTGGGTTCCTGTGAAATAGTAAAGTACCATAATGTAATGTAGAAATCTGCTGTTGTGAATAATAGATCGAAATAATATTAATTTAAAACGTAGAGTGAATCTGAGTATATTTTTGGTGAAAGTGCAACTGAGATTAAATCTTGATTAATAATATGGGTTAGGGTCGAGAAGCGAAAATAAAACTTGCATGTCGTGCTTTACACTGAAAAGAAGGTAGAAACTTTTCAAAGTTAAAGGATCGAAAAGCATGAAGATTCGAGCCAGTGCTATGCATTTCTTCAAAACCCTATATTTCCCCTTACTAAACATCAAGTCATGAGATCAAATAATTCGCTTGCGTGGGCCTGCGAATTTTTGTGATGCAACGACATGCATAAATAACCATGTATATGTACACAAGATTAAATATTTCACAATTAGATCTCGAGAGAGAGTGGACTACGACCGATAGCTTATGAGGCCAAAGTCTGACAAAAAAATGAATAAAATATATAAATAAAAAAGGACTTTATTACTAAAACTTCGCTTATGGGTTTATTCAAATTTGCATAAATTATATATCGCCGACTTCGTTTGATATGCTTGGCATGTTTGAGAAGTGAAAATTAATTCACTACATGCTGTTGAAAGCTGGCTAGAGCGAAAAAAAAAAACTTAAAATGGTTTTTAACACATCGTTTTGACCCACAATATTTCTAAAAGAAAAGAAAAATTGTCACTTTTCACTAGTCAAGGACTAAAGAGATCCCGAGCAGCGCAGCCAATCAGAACGAAGGATTTGCAATAATAGTCAACTAGTGTGGTAATGCAAATCAGCCAATATGCAGAAACTATGATCATTTTGACTCATAATCCAAGAATATATATATAACATATCAGAAATTATGAAGTAATCGAAGAGTTGTTGGAGGGAGCCGAAGCTGTCACTCACTCAGTCACTCACTTTCCTATAAACTTAAGCCTAAAATTCTGTTTGTAAAGTAATTATAATTCGATTCGTCGTACCGTTCAGTCACAAAGACTGGCCGATACTCCAAATTCGTTTTCAAAATGATTGGACCAAGGTGCTGGCCCGTGCTTATCAGCCTATTTGACCCAATTTGACTGATTTCACTCAAGAAAATTGGCTTAACGAAAGCCTTCGAAGTCAGATAAATGAATCATTAGACCGTAAATAATAAATTTATCAAGCTATTTTGATACCTATTATGATCAGCCTCTCTGTATTCCATTTTATACTTTTTAAAATTAAATATTAAAATTGATATATTACTCTCATATGCCCACTTCACATACTCAAAAAATGCTTTCAAAGGAAGAAATCAAGGTGAGGTAGCGAAATACGGAATTATTTCGTTTTTTTTCTCGATGATATGTTCACTTCCGGCGGTGTGTTTATTTCATAAGCCAATCAGAGATTGAGAAATTTCCCGCGTGTATTCCAGAGCCACTGTTTTTCGTCGAGCTTGCGCAGTAAGAAGGACAGAGGCGCTGGGTACGAGATTGTAGTACTTGCTAAAAAAACATAATTTCTGATATATTTCATTTATACTTGAAATATGATCAAAACAGATTAAAATTTCTGTATATATAATGAACCTTCTATAGCGACATGAGAGCCTTCTTTATGGAAGTCGCACAACAGACTGTTTTGCAATACATTGCATTGTACGAGCTGGAATGTCTTATTCAGACGTGTTATATAACGAGTTTCAACTTTTTTCAACGGCAAGACGTTCTCAGCTCCTAAGTTAAATTTAGCCAAGTCTACCTTGTCGATTTTGAGGTTCGCTGTTCATGTTTCAAATAATGGGAATACTATTGAACGACATACAGGCTTAAGGTTGAATATCGTGTCCATTCCCACCTTTTTTTTATGGCGCTACGCGAAGAGTTTCTTATTTCTTTTTGGATTTTGTTCTTTATTAGATGGATCCAGTGGTAAAAGCAAAGCATCTTATTCTTCAATGTAGAGGTTACAATAGGCTAAAGAAGCATACTGCTGCTATCAAGAAGGGAATCGAATGTATTGAAATTGCAGATCAACTGAGTCAACCCGATCAAGACCTAATTAAGATGGAAGCTGCTCTGGAAGTTTGGCGTGCACAAGAAATACTCCAACAAGATGACGATGCTACCATTTTTCAAGGGAAGTACGTTGAATTTGTCAAGCACTACGCAAGCAGGTTGCCTGAGGACGATCAGTACAAGGTGATGCCATAAACAAGAAATATATAGACTGTATAATGTAGACTAAATGTATGGAATTTTAGCTCCCAGGGACAACTTACATAAATTTAGGCCGTAAAAGATCGTCGAAAAAAAAACCCGCATATAAACATTTTACCACAGTATTTACTCGAATAGACGCCGTCCACATGTAGACGCCGCACTTAAGACTCAAAATATTAATAGACGCATCTGGGTGCGGCGTCTATTTGAGGAAATAATGATTTATAATAATTATTAAAGAACGATCTATTTCAATGGGAATTTAATATTCTAGAACAACATTTTTTAGTGGCTGTACTTTTCGGCTCTTGTGTTGAGTTATTTTTTAAGGATTAAATTCTTGCAAATGATGTTAAAATGGAAGATCAACACTTGTTAAAATCATAATTGAATACACAAAATTAAGTCGACATTTATATTTAAATCCGTTACTGCTGGCTAGTAAAAAAATATAATATAAAGTACGGTATGTAGCACTAAATTAAGTGGTTTTTGAATAGATGCCGCCTTCAAATCATAGCAAACTTATTGCCATATATACATCGGGTGACATATGCTTAGATTTATTAGATCTTTTGATATGTTATAAATGAAGAGGCTGAAAAAGAGCACAAATACGGCATTAGGTTTAATGGTCATTAGAAAAGCAAAAAGCTTTCAAAAAATATCTCGGATTTTGCTCTCCGAAACCCTGGGACTCTTCAACAATAGCTTTCACTTCAATAGCCTTCATAAGAATAACCAAAACGGCCACAGCATACAATACTCTTAAGCCATTTTTATTCTTTTTTCAGAACGATAGATGTATCACATATCAAAATGCGCCAAATTTCATCAGCTATTTRAATTTGGCGATAGGTTTTTCATTAACTAAATAAGTTATGCACGAGGTCCAGTTTTTTTAAGCGAAGCGTGATCAAAACGTGGAACGCCTGGCTATTTTGATGCTCTCACGAAGAATACACAGAAAGGTCACATATATATTTTATTTCTTAAATTCGATGGTAGGTGTTTAGGATTGTCTTTAATATCATTGCATTTCTTCAAAATTTGAATTTGACACTTCATAC